TCTCATTCTCTCTCTCAAATAAATAAATAAAATCTTAAAAAAAAAAATAAATAAAGGCTAGCGCAAATATTAATTCCTTATAAAGTCACTCCTTCCCCCCTCCCAAAATCCTCACAGGACTTTGCACAAATCTTGATTATATTTACTATGCACTTAGGACTCTAAATTGCATTTTTTATTTCTGTACGGCTGGCTCCCTCTTCCACTCTGTGTATATAACCTCAGGGGCAAAGCATCTTAGCATGTAGCACAGTCATCTGAGATGTTCTTATAGTTGGTTTTTTTTTTAATAGCTTTATTACAAAGGGAATACATACACGTGGCAAAAAAAAAAAAAAATCAAGACAGCATAGACAAGTATAAGAGGGATGGATAAAAGTTTCCTCCCCATGATCTAGCCCAGCAGTTGGCAAGCTTTTCTTATAAACGGCCAGATAGGAAATATTTTTGGTGCAGCAGGACTATGCTCGCTGTTAGAGCTACTCAACTCTGCCGGGTGCATCACAAAAATAGCTACAGATGATATACAGAAACAGATGAATGAGGCTGTGTTCCCATAAAACTTTACTTTGAGAACAGGTAGCAAACCAAATTTGTCCCAGGGGACATAGTTTGCCCACCCCTGTATACTAAGTGATGGTCTCATGTTCCAAATGTGTCTTACAAAATGTACTGTTAGTTGAGTATATCCTTTATGCAGCCCCACTAACCAAAATGTAGCTGTTAAAAACAGCAAAAATACACAGTGATGGACCTGGACCAGTTTCTTCAAATAGAAAAAAAAGTTCCTAAATCACTTTTTTTTTTTTTTCCCCCATTAAGAACCAGGTATATGTGGCTGGGTAGCTACCAACTACCTTTGTGGAATGTCTGCAGAGTTAAAAAAGAAAGCAAATGTATCCAAGTTTTTGGTGTCCCCATATCTCCTCAAATGTACAGTTTACTAATTCTAGTTTCATGCTCAGATGAGCCTGTAAAATTATCTAACCCATTCAACATCTAAATTACAACATAAGCTCTAATACAAGGACCCAAGGCTTTGGGGGTGCTGCCTAGAAATCTAACCACAAGGGTGAATACAGTTTCAAAAGGAAAACCCATTCCCAGCCAAGAGAAAAAAAAAAATTGAAGTACCCTCTCTTTGTAACATCAGAAGCCACATGTGCATACCTTCAAAAGGGGACTGAGGTGGCTGTTGGTTTCCCCTGTGCCGTGCAATCGGGTGTATGTTTCAGGTCCTTTAGTAGTAAGAGATGGTATCTATGAAAAAAAATTTAGAACTTATACTAAAACTTAAAAAAAAAAAAAACTTATCTGTAGGAAATGTTCTAGTGAGTGTTAAGATCAAGTTCCACTCTAGGAATTTTAAAAACATTGATGAATTACAAGTTTTCCACTGTCATTGGCTTCCCTCAGTTTCTCACTCTGCCTGTGATTCTCTCTTTGGATCTCTGGGTCTTCATGTTTCTGACATAGCCTCTTTCCCTCTACCTCTCTCTCACTCCCTCCTGCTTCTCTCTCTCTCTCATTCTGGTTCTATCATAGTCTTTGGGGTCTTTTCCCTTCTCCAGCTCTCTGTACCTCAACCTCTGTCGGTTCTGTCTTCTCTTTCTCTTTCCCTTTGTCCGTGGTTGCCTTTCATTTAAGTAATGCAATCATCAAAGTTCTTTTCCATGGCCATGCAAGACTTTCTAATGACTCACCTTCATGGGTGAGGAGTTACAGGTAGAATATGGGTGCTTGACTCACTATGTATTCATATGGCTAAGGATGTGCATGTTCTATGTGTGTGTGCACGTATATGAATATGTACACGTAGATGAATATCCAGATCAAGCTAATGTCTGAGATTTAAATTGAGATATATGTTTTCTTTGTTGGACTTACAGGTCACCAGAGTGTCTAGTATATAGTATACAGTCTTGTTGGTGCAAGTACCTCCGTATCTGTCTCTTTTTTTCTTTTTTAAGATTTTATTTATTTATTTGATGCTCCCCACTGAGCAGGGAGCTGATGAGGGACTCCATCCCAAGACCCTGGGATCATGACCTGAGCCTAAGGCAGATGCTTAACCAACTGAGCCACCCAGGCACCCCAATATCTGTCTCTTTTCTAATTAAAAAAGAAAAACTGATGAGGAAAGGCTTGGTTGCATCCACTATCATACAATCAGAAGAAAAAACACAAAGTGATCTTCTTACCACCATTGTCATCAAAACTATCTACAAACACAAGTTGGTAGAGATTTGGGTTTTTTTTTTGTGTGAAACCTAGATGCCTAGAATTAAGCATAATGAAGCTTATAAGGTTCATGATCTTTTTTGATTCAGTTTAAAATATTTTTTAAGTTATAAAAGTAGCATATATTCATAGAAGAAATATCAAAAAACCACAATTTAAATGATAGTTAAAACAGTCATAATCAATGATAATATTTTAATCTTACCTTTCTAATTTTTTTTACATTTTCTTTCTTTTCTTTTACAAAAATAGAAACATATTCAATAAAGTATATGGAGCCCCTATTATGTACCAGATGCCCTGTTAGATAAATAGAGAACACAACAGACAAAAATTTCTACCCTCATGGAACTTAAAATCTTACTATTTTAAAAATTTATGTTTTTACCTTTTACTTTGCTGCATACATTTTCTAAGTCATTAAATACAGATCAATAATACATTTAATAGGTATTTGATATTTTATCACACTGATGCACAAGAACAGGGGTATTATTTGCTATTATAGACCAAGAAAAGGCCAAAAAAAAAAAAAAACCCCAAACCAAACTCAAACCCAAAATCACATAGCAAGAATTTAGAAGTATTTACTCTGAGTGAATAGTTATAAATGCTGTAAGGGATATATAGAAAAAAAGAACAAAAACAATTTTTAAAAACTTTTTTTAAAAGATTTATTTGTTTGACAGAGAGAGACACAGCGAGAGAGGGACCACAAGCAGGGGGAGTGGGGGAGGGAGAAGCAGGCTTCCTGCCAAGCAGGGAGCCCAATGCGGGGCTCGATCCCAGGATGCTGGGATCATGACCTGAGCCAAAGGCAGACGCTTAACAACCGAGCCACCCAGGTGCCCCAAAACAATTTTTTTAAAGATGAGAGATGGCCCCAGTCCTCTAAGACATGACAATGGACAAGGGAGAGAGCATAATTACAGAAGAGAGACAATATCCATTACACACCTGCTAAGTGGGCATTAGTCCGTGCTTACTATAGTGTGTTATTATTAATTCAATGACAACAACAACAACTACTACTACTACTAATAATAATAATAATACAGCTAATGTTTATTACTATGTGCCAGGTACTACGTTAAGGACTATCAACCCATTTAAGACTGTAACAAACTTTAAGAAGAATATTTTTATGTATGAGGAAATAGAGGTATAGAGTCACAGTTATTTTCATGAAGTCACAGAGCTAGTAAATGATGAAGCAGTATTCCAAACCCAAGAAGTCTGTTTCCAGAGTCTTTGCTACTGATTATTATATTAGAGTTAAAAAAATGCACCATATTCTATCCTCAGGACACAAATCTTATTTATGTGGATAACCAAGAAAAATGGTACCAAGAACTCATTCCCATTATACAAACTACAAAGTATTTATTTCACAGTAGAAAGACTGCTTTCCAGGGAAAGGTATAGTCTTTCCTTTTTCTGACATCTTATATGTACATCATTATCTCTCCCCTAGCCTGCTTCAGCAGGTCTTACCCCATTGTATTCAGATTCTTTTGAGAAGTTACTGAAAGCTGTGGACTTCAACTTTTTCCAAAAAAAAAAAAAAAAATGCTCATGTACACAGAATGTGTAGGCAATCTCAGAAAGTTCATGGACCTGAAGCTACAGAAGAATCCTCTAGGGAAATTTTTTTCAAACTTTAATGTTACTAAGAATCACCTAGGGGATTATTAAAACATAAATACCCCTGCTCATTCTCCTGCCCCCATCAACATAATAAATACTAATTCCAGATTAGTAAAATACATTTACTTCAAACATTCCAGGTTATTTAAATGTGGGGGTCTGAGGAACGCCCCTGAATGTAGTTTTGGTTGCCAGTTGGAGAACCCAAGGCTGCTCAGTTCAAAATCCCTCCACCTACCCAGGGCTGGTCAGGTGGAGATTAGAGACAGTGTTTCCAAACCTGGGTGACAAAAGCCTTTTCCCTGATTCTAATCAAGAGAAAGAACTGAGGAACTAAACAGAAGACCTTTGACTTTACAAATAGGCAAGCCCTGGATCAGATGACCCATGAGTTTGGGTTCCCATATCCTCTCTCATTCTAATTAGGGAAGATGACCAGAACCATCAAGCCTTTGGCTCTTGGGCACAGTATGATCAGCCAATTACCTGACAACATGTCTCAGTAGCCTGATGTCCAAGTGAGTGTCCATGTTGTCCATCTGTCTCTATAGGGTCAGTAGCCAGCAAGGAGAAATCAAATGCCAGCTTCCACACATTCATTCTTTCTGGAGAGCAAGCTGGAGATGACATGTTAGTGATGCTACGGAAGTCACTCATAGGAATGGGTGGATGTCATGAAAGGAATCAAACAGGTCAGCACCCTGAGAACAGAGTAACATGGAAAGGAGCACACTTAGATTTTTCTGTTCATGCCAAGGTTCCCCTACCATCACTTGAACTGGTTTAGGAATTCCTCTCTAAGAGACTTCAGAATGAACCCAATACACAAGGGCAGTGTGACGGTAGAAAGAGCTTTGCAAAGTCAGAGCAAAACTCAAATTCCTGTTGTACCACCTTTTAACTAGGTAATCTGTGGCAGCTTTCTTAACCCCTCTTGAGACAGAGCAGGGTCTGGGCTTGGGTCCTCTCAACCCTGAGCTTGAAATCCAGCATTTCTTGGTAGCTGAAACCCTATGTGTCTTGAGTAGCATATTTTGCAGGAACGTGGAAGAAGCATGTTTGTCAAAAGAGGGACACAACCAGGAAGACTGGTGAAGAGCAAACCAAACCAGTCTGCGCCAAGGTGGACCACAGGGCTGATCTGACTTTTCACCAACTTTCTCCCTCATTACAACACTAAAAATCACACCCAAGGGTGGAGATTTAACATGCTAATGACACACGCAGTGCATGAGGAAGAATGTTTTGTCCACTGCGCCTACGTGCCCCACTTCCTGTATCCTCCATCCCTACATGCTTAGACATCACTCTTTTGTCACCTCAGCCTCTTTAGAAACTTTCCTCAGCCTCTGTTCTGAGAGCCAGCCTGATGGATGCTTTCCTTTGTTCTGTCTCCCTTGTGTTCGAGCATAAGCCCCGAGAGCCTTGCCTGGAACTCCCATTGTCCTCTAGTAAATTTCTGTCCAAGAACCCCAGTCAGTAATAATCTGAGCATGTTTCCACAATGTTAGAATGGGGATAATACCTACTTCACAGGGTTGTTGTAAGGATTAAGATTTTTTTTTTTTTTTAATTTGAGAGAGAGAGCGCAAGAGGGGGTAGGGTTAGAGGGAGAAGCAGACTCCCTGCCGAGCAGGGAGCCCGATGCGGGACTCGATCCAGGGACTCCGGGATCATGACCTGAGCCGAAGGCAGTCGCTTAACCAACTGAGCCACCCAGGCGCCCTGTAAGGATTAAATTAAATAACATAGTGATGATAGTCTGCAATGTGCTTATAGGGGATTGCTCAAAAGCTATGGTGACTTTTATCATTGTTGTTAAAAGTCAGCTTCTGTTATATCATGTAGACAGCACACCTGGGTGGAACAGAGTTGTTTAGCAAACTCCCCTCTGCCTTGTCTCCAACCCCCAGTCTCAGTCAGACACAAGAAGAGCAAAAGGAGCCATTGATGACTGATTCCCAATTGTCAGCAAAAAATAAAAATAAAAAATAAAATAAATAACACTTCTTTTTTTGTTTTTTAAAGATTTATTTATTTTATTTATTTTTTAATTTAATTTTATTATGTTATGTTAATCCCCATACATTACATCATTAGTTTTTGATGTAGTGTTCCATGATTCATTGTTTGCGTATAACACCCCGTGCTCCATGCAGAACGTGCCCTCCTTAATACCCATCACCGGGCCAACCCATCCCCCCACCTCTAAAACCCTCAGTTTGTTTCTCAGAGTCCATAGTCTCTCATGGTTCGTCTCCCCCTCCGATTCCCACCCCTTCATAAAATAACACTTCTATCATTAGGCAATGACACCTGACTTGAAGTAAATCTTATTAGTATCCTGTATGGTCACTTTATAAGGCTAATGATGACCCATCAATCACCCTGAATTAAACAACTTGTTCTAAAGCCCAGCATGTATCATTTGTGTTGGTTCTCCTGGACCCCCAGAGCCCTGTGCCCCATCCCAATGGTGGTCCCTGATGGGCAGGAAGGCAGGCTTTAGCCAAAACATAACTCTGTCCCCAGCCCACGGCGAAAAGGCCTGAGCAAGTGCAGGTATTAGCAGAATTCTGTGGAATTCCTAGGTTTTAGCCTTCCCTTCTTCTAACACCTGACATGCAAAGCACACTGCTAACCCAGCCATCTCTGAGCTTCATCTAGCACAAAGTGTAGGTAATAATATCTGTCCTTCTTATGTCTTAGGACTATGATAATAAAACTGAAGAAATATGACAAAATTCTTCAAAAGTGAAGCATTTGGAACAGTAAAAAGATACATTACTGATCTAAGGCAGTGGAAAAATATTCAGTAGATCTCAGCAGAAGCAGAGACATGACGGCTTTGATGGACACGTAAAAGTACATGCAGGGTTTCCTACAAGAACATCTGGGTCCTTTTATCCCCACCAGAATTTTAGAATAATATCTGTTTCTTTAGGATGAACCCTGCATAGTAAAATTTCACCTTTGTTTCTTGCCAAGCTTTGAACCATTTCATCTGTAGGGGCCAACAGCGGGCTATCCCCAAATATGCTACTTTGGCATACTGATTATTTTAAATAAAAGTTACAAGACAGCCAGTACAAAAACAGCATTCTGATGGCACCCCACCCCTCAACCTGCCTTTGTTTCCAGAAAGCAAAAAATAAATCTCCCTCTCTGTACGGCAGGTAAAGAGAATCTGTCCTGGGTGCCTGGGTGGTTCAGTTGGTTAAGCAACTGCCTTCGGCTCAGGTCATGACCCTGGAGTCCCTGGATCGAGTCCCGCATCGGGCTCCCTGCTCGGCGGGGAGTCTGCTTCTCCCTCTGACCC